TCTCTGTGGAAAAATTCCGCCAGGTGAAGTCGTCTTGCATATTCTTTCATGTCATCTTTTAGCGCCGGTGTATTTTTCCTTTTTAAACCTGGTGTTGGTGTAAACTTGAGGCCTTTTGATAAGAGTTCCAAACATGCTTTAGATAATATTTTACTTGATGTATTTATTACTTATCTGCTCGCATATATATACGCATATCTGCTCCAAAGAAATCCGACCGAATTTACCGGACCGATGAATTTAACCAATTGGTATTCTATGAACTTTAAACATTCCACAGATATCAATAGACATGCGTGAAGAAGAGGCTTGGACAGCCTCTATGGGGCACAGCTCTACTGTGTTAACCCACGTGGATTTGATTTGCTGGCTGGATGATGCCATTTCACATAAAAGTTGAGAAAATGCTGCACAAAGTTAGCAAAGAACGACTAGTTTCGACTTGTGGTAGTCTACATCAGGTTCTTCTAGCTTTAAAAAACGTATTTTCAGCATATTCTCGCCTCCTTATATACCCTAGTTTCCTGAGAGAGCGCCAAAAGGGGGGCGCCGAGGAGGGCGGCAATGGGTTCGGGAGCGCCGAGGGATCTGAGTAGGTGCCAAAGCAGGGTTAACAGCAGGTAGGTCTGGTGGGCGCCGAAAGTGTGCGCCGTTCACTTTGGTGGGAGAATCAAGGACGTGCCTCTGATCCCGTGATCTGTACTGGTTCCTGGTTGGCTGTCGTCTGACGTGCACGTCATAGTGTTTGTAACGTGTGTGGAGGTTCATATAGGGCCAATGTGGGCTGTATACGTATAATACACGTGAATTAGTGTGTGTATGACGTCATAGACCAATTCTTCAGCTCGTGGGGGGAAGGGGGTTGGTCTCAACACGTCTGAAGATGGTTTCGGATTGGAGGGGGGTATAAAACTGTTTGCTTGTGATTATGAAAGCTGGTTGGTTTGGGTTTTGGCCCCCGCTTATGTTCTCCATGTGTCCTGTGCGTTGACCCGTCTGCGTCTATGCAAATATAGGGTATATGTATGGGTTGCGTATCCCTGAGGGTGGGTAGGGATTAACCCCGTAAAAGGTACTGTGTACTATTAAACGCACGGCGGCCCCCACCGAGAACCCCCGTGAGAGCGTAAAATATATACTCTATATTACCAAACATACGAGCAAACCTGTTGTCACAAGTGACAGAGTTTATACACGCGGCATGACCTAAATATATGCTCTAGGTGATTCGTACACGTGATTCCAGTATATGATATCGTCTTGCACTGGAGACTATTGGATTGTAGAACAGTTGAGCAGAGAATGGTATCGTAGTCGTATGGTATTGTAATTGTGGGGGGAAATACGTCCAAAACCGGTGCGTTGAAAGCAAAATGGAAAGATGTATAGAGTTAGGAGTCAAGCACGGCCTAGAGGGCAAAGAATTGCTGCAATTCATTCGAGAACGGGAGCAGGAGGATCGAAAACGGGAGCGAGAAGGGCAGCCGAGAAGGAAGCCAAGCGAGAGGCCCAGCAACACGAGCTTGCTGTTATGTAGCGCCAGATCGAAATAAAGAGGGTGAAACATCAGGTGGCGGCGGAGGAAAGTATGATGGAACCCTCGATGGCAACAAGAGCAAATAAGGCGAAGGCGCCAAAACTACCTGTCTAGACTATCTGGAGAGGTTTGAGCAGTTCACCAAGTTGCAGGATTGGGAGGAGTGTACTTAGGCGATCAACTTGAGTGCACTCCCTACAGAAAGGGCGTTAGAGGTATACTCAAGGCTGCCAGCGGAGAAGGCCAAACGGTTTGCAAGCTTGAAGGGGGCCTTATTACGGAGGTACCAGCTGACTGCAGAAGGCTTGTGGAATAAACTCAGCGATAGTAGGGCGGAGGCAGGAGAAAGTCCGGAACAGTTTGTGACAAGACTGGAAGGGTATCTATTACGGTGGGTGGATCTCTCTAACACTCAGTGTACCTTCGACGGGCTCAAGGAGTTAATATTAAAAGAGAAGTTTATTGGGTCATGCAACAAAAGTTTGTCATTGTTTTTAAACGAGAGGCCACCTCTGCGGATGGAAGAACTCACTACGTTAGCTGAGAAGTATTTGCAGGCATATGGCAGAAGCCTAGATAAGAGTAAAAATGATGGTCGGAGAGTAAGTAGAGACGGGATGAGTAAAGAGCCAGGTAACCAGCGACAGGGTACTAGGACAGAGGCAGAGAGACGATGCTTCAGATGTAATAGACCGGGACACATAGCGAGGGACTGTGTAGGCGACAGTAGGAGAACCCCAACGAGCACAGTACAGCGGAAGCAAGGATATAGCGGAGCCGGGTATGGCTCACAATATGGCCCCACGCACAGTGTGAAGAATACTGGATACCATGCTCGACCTAATGGACGAAACCTAGCAGCGGGGTGTTACTTAAATCAGTGTAGTGGTGTCGGCGAGGGTAACAGGAATACCATGAGCCATGTGAAAGGAAGGCGGGTACAAAGGGAGGTAGAGCATTGCGAGGATCAAGTAGCCAATGGAGGCTCCCAAAGCATGGCAACTGAGGTCCCAATGCCTTATGTGGAAGGGTAGGAGGCGTTGAAGTGAAAGCACTGCGAGACACGGGCTGCAGCGGCATCATTATCAGACAAAATCTTGCGGCCAAAGAACAACTTACAGGAAAGAAGACGTGGTGTACATTGGTTGATGGATCCATCAAGGAGGTCCCAATGGCCAGGGTAAAGGTAGATAGCCCATATCTTACCGGGAAAGTAGAGGTCATGTGCATGGAGATACCGCTGTATGATTTACTAATAGGGAATGTCCCGGGAGCACGAAGCCCCACTGACCAACGTATGAAATGGCAAGAACGTATGCCGACTACAGAGGTAGAAGCCAGCGTGGTCGTTACACGGGCAAAAGCCAAAACGAAGGATAGGGCACTAACCCCTGTAAGAGTAGCTTCTAAAATTGATGTGAAGATTGACGTGGAAACGTTTAAGGCATATCAGAAAGAAGACAAGATGCTGGATAAGGCGAGGACGTGGACAGATGTGAGAACCAAGAGTGCCAGTAAGTCATGGCTTACGAAGAAGAAGGGTCTGCTCTATAGAATGTTCCAATCCCCAAATGTGAATCAGGGGGTAAGTAGTGAAACAGTTGATGGTGCCACAACAACTGAAGAAGAAAGTGCTGAAGATAGCTCACGAATCAATAATAGATGGACACTTGGGCATAAGAAAGACCAGGGATAGGATAGCAACAGAGTTCTATTGGCCAGATATGAGTGGTGATATCTCACGTTTCTGCCGATCGTGGATGCATGTCAGCGGCCAGTGGTGAAAGGTAGAGTAACAAAAGTACCACTAGGAAAATTGCTGATAATCAATGTACCCTTTCACCGAGTGGCTGTAGATCACGTTGGGCCGATTCAACCCATATCAGATAAAGGAAGCCGATATATATTGACTATGGTGGACTATGCAACAAGATACCATAAAGCTGTACCATTGGCAACAATTACTACCGAGGTGGTAGCTGAGGCTATGGTTGAGATATTTAGCAAGGTAGGGTTCACGAAGGAAATACTTAGTGATTTAGAAACTCAGTTCACCTCGGGGCTGACGAGGGAGATAAGTAGGCTGTTGTCAGTCAAGCAACTCACAACAACACCGTACCACCCAATGTGTAACGGACTGGTCGAACGATTTAATGGAGTACTGAAGCAAATGCTGAGACGGCTATGCATGGAACGCCCACGGGAATGGGATAGATATATATCAACGTTACTATTTCCCTACAGAGTCCCGCAAGACAGTACGGGGGTTTCACCGTTTGAGTTACTCTGTGGTAGAACGGTGCGGGGTCCTATGAAGATACTTAAAGAATTGTATACAAAGGAGATAAAGGTGCCAGAGGTTAGAAACAGCTACCAATACGTCGTTGATCTTAGGAATCGACTAGAGGAAACGTGCGAGATAGTAAAGGGGCGGTTGAAGAAGTCACAACGTAGATACAAGCATTACTATGACAGGAAAGCCAGAGCACGTAGGCTCAATCCAGGTGACATGGTGTTAGTTCTGCTCCCCACGGACAGCAATAAGATGCTAATGTGATGGAAGGAACCATTTGAAGTGCTAGCGGTGAAGGCTGAAAACGACTACATCCAAGGTCTACCATGCCAATCTGCTGAAGCGATACGTGCAGGAAGGAGCATCAACTGCCTCAGGAAACTCTGGGAACGATCAGGTCGCTGGGACAGCTGTCATCGAATGTGAGACAGATAGTGATGGAGCAATTGACGACGAACAGCTGTTGGATGTTGACCTACGGAGCAAAGAGACCTACCATGAGGTAGATCTCAGCGCGGAACTAACTGTGTCGCAGGCCAGAGAAGTCAGAAGGCTACTAAAGCAATGTCGCAAAATATTAACCGACACGCCAGAAAACACCACCATGGTAGAACATGATATCAAACTGACGACTGATGAACCCGTTCGAGCGCGACCATATCCGTTACTGTATGCGATGAGGAAAGAAGTGGAAGCAGAGATCAAGGAAATGTTACGCTTCGGAGTGATCGAATGGTCCGAGTCTTCCTATAGCTCACCTATCGTGCTGGCTAGGAAGAAAGACGTACGGATCAAATCGGTTTTGTGTGGATTGCAAGAAGCTAAACCAGATCAGTCTTCGACACGGAGCCTACCCCAAATGCAGACATTTTTGTGAAATTAAGCGGAGATACGATCTTAACTAGATCAAAACTAGACATGTCAAAGGGTTACTGGCAGATTCCAATGACGAGAGAGGCAAGACCTAGGACATCATTCATTACCACAAGTAGAAGTTAAACTTTCATTGTGATGCCGTTCGGATTAGTCAACCCAGCAGCAACGTTCAATAGAATGATGAGGAAGCTATTGGATGGCCTAGACGGAGCTGGCAGCTACATTGATGACATATTAGTCCATACATCCAACTAGCCCAACCATCTGCGTATACTCCAACAGCTATTCGTGAGGATGAGGGACGCAGGGCTCATAGCAAGGCCATCAAAATTCATGTTAGGCTATAGCAAGTTGAAGTTCCTCGGACATAAGGTTGGAGGTGGAAACGTGGGCCCGCAGGACGTCCTGGTGAGTAGGATCCAGAATGCCCCAGTGCCGCAGACGAAACAGGAAGTGAGAGCCTTCATGGGCCTAGCGGGGTATTACCGGAAATATATACCCAACTTTGCAACCATCGCAGCGCCCCTAACAGATCTGACTCGAAACGGGCAGCCAAACAAGATCCGATTGGGTCAAGCGCAGGAGAACACCTTCCTTGTCCTCAAGCGGTATTTGTTGACGAACCCCATCCTCAGGTTGCCAGATATGAAGATCCTTTATACTGCGCACCGACGCATCGGATACGGGAATCGGAGCGATTTTACTACAGAGTCGAATGGGGAGCTGTTTCCTGTCTCATATGCAAGTAAAAGATTATGCCCTAGGGAGAAGGCATAATCAGTAATTGAACGTGTGTCTCGTTATAATACGTTTCTGTACGGACGCGAGTTCGTGGTACAGACAGATCATCAGCCACTGGCATACCTCAAGACAGCTAAAGTAGCTAACGGTCGATTAATGCGATGGGCACTGTTCCTGCAACAGTACGGGGTCCGCATTGAAGCCATTAATGAAGCCGATAATTTGGGGGCCGATTACCTCAGTCGACTCTCTGCGAGTGATTAAGTTATGCTGGAAAATTATGCAGAAGGACGGGGAGAGGGGGAGTCTTGACTATATGTAGGAATATAGTTGTAATTGGGCGTATATTAGTTTATACACGCGGCATGACCTAAATATATGCCCTAAGTGATTCGTACGCACGATAGCTGGCGAGTGAGACGTGCGGGAGAGGTGAGACGCCCTGGAGTTTTTGTCTGGAATAGACGTGTGAACGTTGTCTGATATAGATGTGTAAAGTTTGTGTCTGATATAGATGTGTGAAGTATGTGTCTGATATAGACGTGTAAAGATTGTGTCTGATGTAGACGTGTAAAGATTGTGTCTGATGTAGACGTGTAAAGATTGTGTCTGATGTAGACGTGTAAAGATTGTGTCTGATGTAGACGAGTGAAGTTACTATTTGAGATGGACTGGTTGAGTTGAGTCTGCGAGAGAGAGAGAGACTTGTGTTGTGTTGAAGTTTGTGTTTGAGAGACACGTGTGGCTGGAGAATAGGAGGAAGAAGCTGACGAAGAGAAGCAGCAGAAGAAGAAGAGGAAGGAAGAAGAAGCTGACGAAGAGAAGCAGCAGAAGAAGAAGAGGAAGGAAGAAGAAGCCGAAGAAGCGGGAGAAGAAGCCGAGGTAACAAGGAGAACCCCATCTGCGGTTTTGCTGTAACAGTTCTTAATAATTTATTAGTCAATGTATATATCGTTTTTCGTAATATTGCAATTGAGGGATGTGCGGGTGCCAACGTTGAACATGGTTTATTAAACTTTTCATTATCTGACATTACTAAACATTTCCGTCTACAGTGTATGCGTGCGTGCACTTACTAGCCCTAGCTTCAACTCGTGACACCCGTCAGTGCTCATTTTTTACGTGACAACCACACCCCAGTGGACTTCCAGTGCAGGGGCATTGAGAACGTTTTCCAAACCCCCGACCAACCCCATACGATCCGATCAGTTAGAAAAAATAAGCCTACTGAATTCACGACCTAAACACTTTCCAGCCACACGGACTCAATCTACGGGTAGAGATTCCGGGATGGATAGAAGACAGTAATAACCCTCCCACCAGCATGCTTGTATATACGCAAGGCTATTCTTAGCCGACACTCTAAAGTAGCAGACGGCTCAGTTTACCTTTTTACAACTTTCTTTCTTCCTGTGAACCAATCCTAAGCACGCATGCACAGACAAAGTTTATCCTCTTAGGTTTTACAGAACGATACCACGTTTCAATGGCTGACAGTGTATACTGTAAATCTCAGTGTATAAACACGTTTTTAGCAGAATTCGACACCAGATGGCAGCACTATGTTGATAAATAGAGGCCGTATTATTAATGTTATTTAAAGAGGAATATGCACTTTAAAAGCCCGTTACGTAGGAGTTAGTGGTGTCTATGGTAAAATATCGATATTTAACGAGTAAATAGAAAAGGCACTACAATTATTGTCTAAAGGGAGAAATGTAGACCAATTTAAACGCACCAGATCCTCTGAGAATCAGCAGTTTTTGACTAAATTCGACACCAGAGGGCGCCGCGGTTAACACGTTTTTAACCTTAACGATTATACACTTCGTGTTGATTATTGATGCATATGCCCAGTGGACAACTTTACTTTAAATTGCAAATTATTGTACTTTGACAGTCCCTTGTGATGCAACCACGGGGCTTTACATATTTGACGTCGTTGTAAGTTGTAACACGATATAACGGCTGCAGACCATTGAGACAGTTTGGTGAAAGTGAGCCCGTATATAGTACACTGAGTAAACTCACAATTTGTACAAGCTTCGGCTGTACATATACTAAAATTGGAACGATACAGAGAAGATTAGCATGGCCCCTGCGCAAAGGATCCCACGCAATCTTCTCACCTGCTTATGGCAAAAAAAAAAACGAAAAGAACGCAAGAAAAAAAAAAAAAGCTTGCGGAAAGGGAAGCGGTAGCCATTGGCCGAGTAGATGACGCGAAAACAAAGAGAAAAAAAGACGAAGCGGGTTTAACGATACTTGCCATACGTCCACCGCGCGGCAGCAGCGTAGTAGGGTGGCACGGTAGCACGCACTGTAGCATGTACAGTAGCTACAATGTTATGATACACACGTGGTGATCATACACACATGCACGCATGCACTGGAACACACACACACACCTTCTAACTTGAACCTCGCAGGTCCTTTTGTGCTAAGGTTGCCTGGTTAATGACTGATGCGGGTAATGTGCACGCTACCCGTTCACGTTAAGGCTATGTTACTAGCAAGTTAGCATGCCTTAGAGGGAGATTAACAGCCAAAAGGTGCATAAAGGAAATAAGAGAAATTGGGGAGGGAGCGGATGCAGCGGCTGGCTAACGATCTATGCATGCAAGGAAGTTAGCATGCCTCAAAGGGTGCATCCAACCGACTATGTCTCCCACTTTAACATATGGCGACATAGCATTACATATGCATTACACAGAGCATTACAGAAACATGCAAAGCAAGCAAGCAAGCAAGCAAGCAAGCAAGCAAGCAAGCAAGCAAGCAAGCAAGCAAGCAAGCAAGCAAGCAAGCAAGCAAG